GCATAACACGGGTAGGATCTCATGACTTGTATTGTAAAGCATCTTTTGTGGGGCACGGCTGCGCGCTGTAGCATGAAAGAATCAAATTTGAGGTAGGCCGCACAAGCGCACCCAAGAGCCTCAGCCCGATAAACTGTTACTTGTGAAGCATCCTCAGGATGCAGAAGACATTTCATTTTGTTTTGCCCTCAGTTTAGGGGGACTTTTCTGCAAGAACATGTTGCAGTAGCCCCTTGGTCAGAACACGAAGGATTTGTGGCCAAATTTTAGGAGCACAGGTTAGAGGGTCTAGAATCCCAACAGATGAAAAAGGTCTAATATCAAAAAGCCCACGATTATAGACCCTGAGCTTGCTGGACGGGGGATCCGTGGATTCCAGACCCTGTAGTACCTGAGGGGATATCATTACCTCATTTGAGCCTCCGAGCTGATTGCTCAAGCACCACCCCAGGCAGTTGACTCTTCAAGGTATCTTACCTTCAAATGGACTGACAATCCCTGTCCCGACGATCGTCATCTCGTAGCATCTGGGCCTGGTGGCTGAAACGTCCCCCTCAATGGCCGAACTTGCCATCCACCGTTGAAAGTAATATTTAACAGTCGATGCGAAGATATGCTTGCAAGCGTGCAGGCCCGTGCAGCAGGGCTTTGTGTGATTGCCCTGGGCAACCTGCAGCCAACGTTCTGATGGACTTGAGGCCGCGGCTGCCAGCTTTGCGATCGGGAGGTTGTTCTCGGCCAGGCCGATCTTTACGAAAGCTGTGCACAGCCTGCCATGGAACTCAATGCTCTACCTCAACAACAATGAACAAATCTGCACCGTATAACCCCTACATATACAAGTATATATATATACACGTATACACACACTCCCAAAATGTCCATGCACAATCCCCATGACCTGCTGGCTTCGAAGCATTGACGGAATCCAAACTTGCAGCCTCAAGGTGACGAGTCCCCTCTAAACCCTGAATCCCTAAATCCTAAACTATAAACCCTAACCCCTACAGCCCTAAAGCCTAAAACCCTAAATCCCTGAACCCCTAAATCCCCCTTCGAGGGACCCTCTACATAACCCCTCAAAAGATGTGCCCAATGCTCCGGCTTCCCGCAACAGCTCTGGGCTTGGTAAAAGCTGCACACCTGAGGGTTTATATGGGGGATGTATAGGGTTTAGGGATTACAGTTTAGGGTTTTGGAGATTAGGGTTTAAGGTTATTTTAGGGTTTAGGGTTTTAGGATTAAGGGCTTTAGGGTTTAAGGTTTGCGGGTTTTAGGTTTTAAGGTTTAAGGTTTTAGGGTTTAGGGTTCAGGGTTGTAGGGTTTAGGGTTTAGGGTCTGCGGTACAGGGTTTTCCGTCTAGGACTTAGGCTGTAGGTTTTAGGGTCCAGGGTTTGATACAGAGAAAGGGGATTTATACCTGCGTAATGGAGAATCAGAATGAAATGGAAACCAGGGTTGTTTTCGGGATGCGATTAGATATATTGGGATATGCAGAAGGTGCTAGAAAGAAGTATATAGGCGTTGTTTAGAGTTTTGGATTTTGGTAGCTGTGAACCAAATGAGGCTGTGCTCATTCGAAAATAGTACAACTCAACGGTAAACATGTTCTTCCTTCATATTGGGGAAGATGATCCCTGTTTAACATGCTACTCGCCTGCTCACAGTTCGTCTCGGCCACAGCCACTGTGGTTGACACCCACGCGAGGAGGCGCAGCATGGCGTCTCGGAGCGACGGATGGATGGCGGTGAACAAGCCCGTTCTCGCTGCTCAAATCAGCTCAACCACAGAAGCAAAATCACCAAATTGCGCACATGCTTCAGCTAAGCCGCACATGAATCCCGGGGCCTTCTGTGCAAAGAGTCTTCCAACAGATCGAATGTGATTGAACGTGGCCTCCAAGCCCTCAGCTAATAAGCGGATTTTGGTGACCTTAACCCCCAAACACTGCCATATGACTCTCATATCATGCCATGATCCTCTTGCTATTTGGGCCTGGGCCTTAATATTCGGATCCCTATTATCATCCTTATATAGCCCAAATAATCCCTATATATATTGCCTTGTTTCCATTTCATTTTCCATGTTCTTTTCCATTTGATTTTCCATTGTTTGGGGATATAATCCCCATTAAGGGGATCCTTAAACCCTAAACCCTAAACCCTAAGCCCTAACCCTAAACCCTGAACCCTAAGCCCTAAACATGGATCCCTATGATCATCCCTGTGAAGGGGTTGAACCCTAAACCGCATTGGCGTCCTTCGAGGCTTTCGATTTGAGCTCTAGGAGCTAGGCCTCAGCCGAAAAAGGTTAAGGTTTAGGGTTTAGG